CAAAAGTGCACCTCTGGCAACAACATGTGGAAACTGCCAACCTTGAAATGTTCCCACTCACCAAGAAATGGCAAGATGTCAACACTGCTACATTGTGCAAGATAATAGGTGAACATCTGAAAATTCTTGAGGAGAAGATGTGCTTTTATTTCTCTTCAGCTTCCACTGAATGCCTTGACTGGGTTCGGGATCCATATAGCTCATCAACAGCTTTTGGAAAGGACACGACTTTGCAGGAGCAGGAGGAACTAACTGAACTGAGACAAAATCGTGGTTTAAAGCTAAGCTTTGGTGATCTACCTTTGGACAGTTTTTGGCTAACTGCTGCGAAGGAGTTCCCCATTATGTCAAACAAAGCTATTTTGACATTGCTCCCATTTTCCACGACATATCTGTATGAGGTGATCTTTTCAAGCCTGAGTGCTATAAAAACTAAAAACAGAGAGAGAGAGACTGAGAGCTGTTGATGAAGAGCTTCGTGTGTGTCTTTCTTCAATTCCTGCCAGGATATCAGCTCTGTGTTCATCCAAACAGGCCCAGATTTCACACTGAGTGAGTATAAATAAATTGAAAGACTATATTGTCATTATATATACTGGATTAGGCTACAGAGTGTCATATTTTAATATTTTTGGTTGGTGGTGTGCCTTGTGATTTTTTCACTGAAAAAAGTGTACTGTGGCTGAAAAAAGGTTGAAAAACACTGGTCTAAGTCACAGCCTTAAGTGACAAGTTAAAAGTGTTAGGTTGTTTGTCCTGGAGTGAAAGCATCCTGAGTCAGAGCTAAAAGTGTTGACACTTACGTACATATGGTGGTGTAACAGGTTGCTGCTCAAACGTTGCCTTTGTTTCTTATTTGAACAATGACAATGTGTCTTCAAATGAAGAAACAATCAGGGTCAGCATGTAGATTAAAATTCTCATTCAAGAAGGTCCTAGAGCAATTTAGGAAAGGGTGTAGTGGACGTGCACAGCGGGTGAGATGTCATCACAGGGCTCTGATCACTACAGTCACCTGCCTTCAGGCTGTGCAGCCCTGCTGTAGCTGATGATGGCAGAGCTTCCTTCAGTGCCTGGCTCACAAACCCAGGCCCGTTGTCAGAGCTGAGGACTGAGGGAGTTCCCAGCCTGGGAGGATTTCAGTCAGCAGCACCTTTGCCGCTGCACTTGCATCTTGTTTAGCTGTGGGGAAACATTCATCATATTTACTGAACATACACATCAAAACCCAGCAGCACTTCGCTGCCTCACCTGGCGTTAGCTTAACAAAGTCTGCCATTCAGTGATCAATTGGTCTGTCAGGTGGTGGACATCCTACAGGTGGCACTCGAAAAGCCCCTGAGGCATTGTTAACTGAACAAATCACACTTTGACAAAGTTTCTGTGCAGAGATTAAGCAAAATTAACCCTTGTCTGCCTCCCCTCTTTGGCCATGTGAGCTCTTCCAGGTCTTATCTTAGCTATGAAAGGAAAGAATGCACTTGGCAAACACAATTTATTACCAGGGCCACTCCACACAGAGTTGATAACTTTAGCTCCTGACTGTGCCCAGAGTGCATGCTCCTGAGGGGCAGGAAGTAACTGCATAGTTAAAATGTGTCGATAGGGTGACAGAAGTACGAGGCTTCATTGACTCATCCATTTCCCGCAGTTTCTCTCACTTGTGTTGTTATCTTTTCCATGCACAGCTGAGAAAGTATAAAGAGCAGGAAAAGATGCAGATTTATGGGAAATGAAACTCCGTGCCCTAGAGATGACATCTCCAGTGGTTATCATTTACCACTGACTGCTCGACAGATGGATCACCTGTCAGTGCTGGAACATTTTCTGCATCACTAAGGAAGAAAAAATAACTTTGAATATTTTTGCTCCAGGTCTTGTTCAATAAAGGTGTTCAATAAAGACATGAAATACCATGACTATATTTTCAGCTTAGAAATATTGTTTGTTGAAATTTGTGACTTTGGTGAAAATCAGATCACATTTCATGACTAATTAAGGCACAGAACCAGGAAATCGCAAACAGTGCCATGACTTTATATGTATTTATTTGCGTGTGTGTTTGACATGGCTGACTGCCCTGTGGTTTTATTCATTAACAAGAAAAAAGGATGACTTTATTAAAAAATATTAAAAAAGAAAACTGTCAGTCAAAGTCAGGTAACATAAGTGGCTATTCGCCTGTACAAACAGTGTTGTTGTAAATATAATGTAGGTTATTTTAATGTTCTTTGCTATTATGTTCTTTGCTAGTACTCCTCCCTGAAGGCGGGAGGAGTACTATGAACTACTACTCTAGGGGGCGCGCTACTTTTCCGTGGCCCCCCATCAGACTCCTGATCTAGTAACCGCGAGAGTCTGTGAGATCGCGAGTACACGTAAGATCCTGTGAGATCTTCCTTTTAGTTGCCCGAAGTTTAAACTGGAAGCCCCGCATGCACATTTATAACATGGATTTCATTAAGCAGGACCACTGCACAAATGGGATTAAAGAAGAGAATCAGGACCACGACTACAAGAGCGCAGTAAAAGAGGAGAACCAGGACCAGGATTTCATCAAGCAGGGCCACTACAAGGGCGAAATGAAGGACGAGAATCACGATCCAGATTTCATTCACCAGGTGCACTACGTAAGTGAAATAAAGGAGGAGAACCAGGAGTGCGATTTCGTCGATTACGACCAGTACAACAGCGCAATGAAGGAGGAGAACCAGGACCAGGATTTCGTCCAACAGGACCACTACAAGAACGAGATCAAGGACGAGAATCACGACCCAGATTTCATTCACCAGTACCATTACAAAAGTGAAATAAAGAAGGAGAACCAGGACCAGGATCTCATGGACCAGGCCGAGGACAAGAGCGGAATGGATGAGGTGAACCAGGACCCGGACCACCGCAGCAACGAGCCCGCGCAAAGGAACAAAGCGGACTCGTCCTCCGGTCCTAGCGACCAACAGGTCAGTGTTCAGAACTTAATAGATGAAAGATCAAAACCACAAATGCTCTATGATTTGTTCTTCCACGTTTTCATCGGCGATAAAAACTGTTTTTAACAGTTTCTTGAAATGAGGAACGAGATAAACAATCTGTTTTGTGGGGGTGGGGGAGGCCCCACGGGACTGGTGTAGGTCAGTGCTGCTCCAATCGAACAAACTAGTATCTATACTGGTATATTTAGTAGGTTTGATACCCAGTCAACAAAATCACGTGCTCACTACTTCCAGGTAAACGTACATCGGGACAACGTAAAAGTCCGGGATTCACTGTCTGCGCGTTATTTGTGTTATCAGCACATAAAAGCTACGTTGTTTATTGGTTGCCTTAAGGTTGTACAAAGGTAATTTCTCTGAGCTATTTCCCAGGTAAAACACAGCTAATTTAGTGACATCAGCAAATGAGATAAGAATCCCTTTGGTTTAAGTGTGTCACTCAGAAGCCCTGCTACATGTTTAGTTACCTGTGGACACACCAGAATCTAAGTCTGGTCATTAACCTGCTGGGACTATTAAATTATATGCAACTGTTAAGTTTTTGTTAGAACCGGTTCTTTAGTTGAAAGCTCGAGAAGTGGAGACAGAAGAGGACTGTGTAGGGTCTCGAGTAAGGCAAAGCTGCGCGCTGGGCTTAAAGGGGGGTGGAGCACACGCAGAAACTCCGTCATCAAAAAGCGCCGGACTCTTGTCTTGTCTGTAGTTCCATTTTGCCCCGATTTTGAGACATTGTGACTCTACGGTGATACAAAACAAAGCAGACCTGTGAAAATGGTAATCTGGTCTCCCGCTGGCTGGCATAGTCATCACAATATGGTTATCTCAAGTGGTAGATACTCTGGCTCTTACAAAATATACAAGACAAAGCAGACCTCGTAAAAATGCTAAATGGGCCAAGTGGTCATGAAAGACAGGCCATATGACTAATTAAAGATGCAGACATCTTGTCTTTTCAAGCACTTACAAACAAGCAGTTTCTGCAAAGCAGTTGTGACAATCATCCATACAGTAGTACTGCAGATAAGCAAGGAAATAAAATTGCAAAAAGTAATTTAAGCAAAATAAAAGTAGAAAAGGTAACTTAAGCTCATGGGGGAACAGTGAGAGAGAGAGAGAGATGTGTTATAGCTGTTCTTGGTTGATGTCATGTATTTGTCACTTCGATACTGAAGATATCACAGCATTTAGGTTCTGTTTGGAGTGATGTTAATTCTGAGGCAATTTGGATATGCCTCATACTTGAGAACCCGCTCTTTGTGTTTTGCTGCCTTTAATTTCCTAACAGCATAGTCATTGTTGCAATTTGTACATGTTCACAACTGCACTTTTGTTATTGGAAATAACCTTGGTAAGGGGTGAGATGTCATATACAGGTTCATGTGAACATGCCCTGTAAACCTTTGCATACGGCAGCTTTACGTCATGGTGTTATGTTCCAGCACTAGAGGCTGATTTACCACTTGTAGAGAAGCTGGCATGTTGTTGTTACCGCACTGAGTTCTGATAATAAAGCCGAGTTACTGAACAATCGATCATTTTACAGCCCGTAAAATAGGTCAGAGAAAACGACCTCTGATCGACCGTGCACATTCCATTATACTTCTGAACAGGGCGGACATGAACTCCAGGGCCTGCACATCCTCATTTGTCATCAGGTCTTTTCAAGAATTAACTAATCACCAGCAGGAAAAGGAGCGACATACAGCAAATCATTTTGAGGAGAATATATTTTAAACGGCACAATTTTTGCAAAACAACACATTTTCAAAATATGTCATTGTCCTCCTCCTCTTTCATTAAAGAAAACCAAGGAAAGTGTTTTGATTTTCTTACCAACTTACTATCAAACTCCACCAGGTGTGATTGTATAGTATTCTGTGTTTGAAAGCAGTCCACCTTTAAAGCTGTCTGTTAGAAATTAATAAATTAGTCAGATAATTATTAGACTTTAATGTGCTTTGCTTCAAGGTTAGAAGACAATGTTGATTCTGAAACGTGTACCTTGACACTAGTTGTTTTCTTGTATTAATCCCGTGTTAGAATTATGTCTGAGTGAATGTTTTAGTTACACACCATGTAACAACAGTACACACACACACGGAATTCTTCACTTTGTTATGACTAGTGCTTGATGCATGTGGAGCATAAGATATGAGAAGGAGACACTGGACTGTCTCCAACTCATGATGTTTGTACATCTGTCTGTGTAAGGGGCTAGCCCGAAAACTTATATATGTATTAGGTTTTGTGTTTTCGGGGTCTCTCTTCTCCAGCAGCTTGTCTGAGGGAGAGAGCCACCCGGGTTGTGTTTCTGTAACTTTTGTCTTGTGGCTTTTGTGAGGCGTGTTCTTTTATTTGAGAAGAGAAGACTAGTAAACGGATATTCCACAGCGTGAAATTTATTATGCATTAACGTATATACTTATACTGCCTTGATTTCTGCATAGACACTCACTTCTTCCTTTGTTTCTAACTAACTGCTCCACATTAGGCATTGCTTTCCGGTTCACCAATTAAAACTACTCTGACTGTGTGTGTGCATATGGTTCTACCTTTGAAGTTTTCTCCTCTTCCTGGCTCCAGATCTTATCTCTATTTACTAACCTTGGTGTCCCAGTGAACTCTGTTTCCCCTGGCTTCATCAGGCAGGTGATGATGATAAATTAACTGTGGACTCTCTTCACCAAAGTTGTAAATCTAATGAGATTCAGTGTTTTAGTGAACCAGTCCCTTTGATGTTAAACAGTGCTCCAGTTGGCTAACACAGTAAATATTGACCAGTGATTCAGTGAACACATGGGATGATATGTAACTACATAAACATGACTGTGAAATAAAAGTATGTAGACTTATGTGTGCTATAAAATAAAAACCTTTATTCATTTCTACTTAAAAATAAAAATCACCCTAACACTTTTTAAATAAATCAGCACTAAAATGAAGAAAGCCGGACTCTGTCGTCATTCAGATCTGTCCAATAAAAGAACTGGGGTATTACAACTTGGTGCTGTGACCTTCGGAATTGGCTGAATTCTGAGCGGACGGTCCAAACCGGCACACTGGATTCCCTGTCGTGAGTAAATGGACTGCACAGATCAACATCGGCCGACAATAAACGGGTGAGCAGGAAACCTATTTACACATAAATCCTGCACATTGGACTTTACCAAATTTAGTTGAGCTGTGTGGACTGTGAATTCCCAATCTAAAATTGAATGATTATGTCGTGTATAGAATTAATTCACAGGGAGAATCACTGCAGTGCCAATCATCATTTATTGAACAATATACAGTATTGTAATGTGAATTCAGAGGGAGAGAAACAGAATCACCTGGAGTTGTGGATCTCTGCAGAGTTTGGGGTCTTTGTCTGTCTTCTGAAGTCCCCCCAAATGCACCCACACACTCGTCAAGTCTGAGTCTGTCTAATCAGCCTTGCAGCTGATTATACAGTGCCTTGCGAAAGTATTCGGCCCCCTTGAACTTTGCGACCTTTTGCCACATTTCAGGCTTCAAACATAAAGATATAAAACTGTAATT